CCCCCTTCTCTTCACCGCAGTCTTGGTATTCTCAGCGGAAGTCTTATTTGCCCGAGAGACTCGTGATGGGATTTTTTTTTTCAAACTAATTTATGGTAGAATTTTGCAAGATGCTTCAAAGGTAATTATGAACAGAAAAACGTATTCCTTTTATTGTCTTTCGGTGAGAACTTAATTATTCTCCGACTTGTTTATTTATTTCTCAATGCTAGAGGGATTTTTTTTTTTTTTTTGAAAATATTTTTCCCCGTTGGTTTTTGAAATTTTCATTTACGTTCGGTTTTTAAGACGCTGGCGGCAATAAAAGGAGCCAATGATTCCCCAAAGTATTTCAACAATTTTTCCATTGTGAATATGTTTTTTCGTGATTATCTCGAGAACTATTGGAGTGAACTGGGTCATCAAGTACATTGCGGAAGCGGAAATTCTCCTGGCTTTCCAGTTAACCGATTTCATTTGAATTATTAATTCAACTTTCTTACTCCAATTATGTTTTATTGATTGAATGTATTCGTGAAAAATGGGGTTATACTTTGTTGACGATTCGAGAATTACTGGTTCATCAGTTTTCTCATTGTCGGAGCATAACTCGTTTTAATCAATGAATTGTTGACTCGGAAAATCATTCATATGCGTCATGTACGTGTTGCCCAATGGTCTTGGAGATTTCGCAACATAAAAAACCTTGGGTTTGCGCGAGCTTCATTGATTTTAGTATTATTTGTTTCTCGTTGAATCGCGAGTAACGTTTCAGTAGCGAAGTGGTCAAACGGTAGTCAATTTGGTCTTTAGTTGAGTTTTCCAGAAATATTTCCGAATTGAAGGGAGATAGAGAAATTTTTATGATGACCTTTTTTGCAGAGCGAATTGAAGGCTACTAAAAAGGTTATGAGAACAATTTCGCTATCTCCCTTAGATTTCGGGATATTCATTGAAAACTGGCCAATAGCCAAAATCGACTTGGACCGTTTGACCACTTCGCTAGTGATTCGGTCCACGTTTGCATTCGTCATTATCACCGAGAGGAGACAAATCTTATCTGTTGTCCGGGGGAGCATTGACCAAACGTACAGCTGAGGAAGAAAGAAACGAAAATATATTTCCACTCTGATATGGGTTTTTCGTTTTAAAAGCAAATGCTTATATCTCGGTCAGCCATGGAAGCAAGGATATTAATTATAGACACAACTCTCCTGTGGGCTCTATTCCACTCGTTTTGTATATATACTCCAGTCGATTGACTTGACAGGCCATAGAGCGTTCAAGTGTGAGCGAACTCGACAAGTTCCGCTTCCTATAGTTTATACCTCTGAACAATTATTTTTCCCCTCTTTCTTTGTTTTTTTTCCTCATTCTTTATTTACTCTGCTAGTTTTCGCTACAAATGGATGCAGTCAGAGTTTATAATGGAAAAGTTCTAAATGGTATTTATTTCTGGAGGTATTTTTTGCTTGAAGACAATTTATTATTTTCATTTTGGAAATTAGTTCATTAAGACATGTATCAGGCAAATAGACACTTAAAAGTACGTTCCTCTGCACAATTATTTTCCCTCCTTTCTTTGCACTTTTTTTTTCTTGGTTGGTTATTTATTCTGCTAGTTTTCACGACAAATGAAGGCAGTCGAGGTTTATAATTGAAAACATCTAAATGAAATTTATTTCTGTGTGTACTCTCAGCTTAAAGAAAATTGATATTTTTATTGTGGAAATTGGGTCGTTAAGAGATAAATCTAATGTAAATGGACACTTTCAAAAAAACACTGTCTATTCCCCTGTGCAATTATTTTTCCCCCTTTTCTTCCTATTTTTCTTCCTCGTTCTCTATTTATTCGGCTAGTTTTCGCTGCAAATGAAGGCAGTCGAGGTTTATAATTGGAAACTTCTAGATGGAATGTATTTCGAGGGAAGTATTCTTTGTCCAAAGAAAACTGATAATTTCAATTTTGAAAATGGGGCCATTAAGAGATGAATATCGTCTAAACAGACACTTTGAAAAGTTCACGATCCGACTAGTTGTACATTGACAATGAGTGCATCATTTGAGACCGAAAATTTCTCCAGCTTTCCAATGGCGCAAGAAAAATTCACCTCTGATTAATTATTTTTCTTTTTAAGACACTCGCAAAAATAGAAATCTGTGACACAGATTTTTATCTGACTTTAAGTGAGCCTTATATTTTGTTGTTACGACTGCTTAGTGTGCACACAGAGTGTGTATATCGACCAGTAACCGAACACATCCGATAATGAGCATTAACCGAGCCAGCCAAGCGTGCGCGTCGCGTTCCGGAAGTAATTGGGTTTTCAAATTCACCAAGTTCTAATTTATTCAATATTTTTTTTTTATCGCTCGCAAAAAGTGATGGGGTAAAATAAAAAAAATTGAGGGGGAATTTTCCAATTTGTAATTAAAGCCCGAATCTAATTGGCACTTTTAGCGCCTTTAAAATGGTTTCAAAAATTTTTTTATGCCGTTTTCTGATACTGTTAATGGCTAT